CCTTAACGCTGCTGGGATCAGAATTTTGTGTTAGATTACAGGTTTGATCTGTGAAATGGGACTAATGAGACTGCCCCCGCATTTGCAAGGTGCTTTGGGATCGAAACGTGAAATAGCCTGGTGGGCTGCCTATGCTGCATTCAGGGATTGTGAATGCAGGTCTGCCTGAGCTAGCTGTAATCTAGTGATAGCAATGAAGCCGCAGCAATATGGATGGCCACACAAGATGTACAGGTAGCACTCGTTTGGGCGACTAGCTCACACTGAACACGTGCTGCCCTGGCTTCACCGCTGTTGGTACCTGAGCTCTATAGGTTAAAGCTAGTTCGGGCACCAACATAAGAGTGGAGTCAGAAGAATTGGGTCACACCAATGATCCATCTAGCCCAGTATTCTGTCTTCTGACAGTTGCTAGCACCAGATGCATCAGAGGGAATGAACAGAACAGGGAAATTATACAGTGATCCATCCCCGCTCCAGTCCCAGCTTCTGGCAGTCAGAGGTTTAGGGACACCCAGAGGAAGGGTCTGCGTCCCTGACCATCTTGGCTAATGCTGTTGGCGGACCTATCCTTCATGAACTTGTCTAATATCTACATGTGCTTCGATCACACTTCTGATTGCAGCATACGTATCCAGTGTAAGAACTAAGTATTATTATTTAGATGAGAACAGCAAATCAAAAGATATCAAAGTGAAGTCTTTTTTTGAAAAAGCATACTGTCTCTTCTGACAACCTGCACTGACCTGCACACAGACGTGCTGACTGTCTCTGCAGCCACGGGGGACCCCCAGAGGTCCACCTGCACAGAGCTCATTACAGGACATTAAACATCATGTCTCATTTTTTTTTATGGAACAATTTTCTGTGGAGTTGCAAAACATCTTGGACTCCATTATGAAACTTTTACTAAGGAACTAAAGCTATCTTTTCTATTAGGACAATACTTTAAATCTGCTTTTGTGGGGGGAGCAGGGGTAAGACTCTTTTTTAAAATTCAATTTTTAATGCTGTGTATTGTTGGTATTTCCTTAATAAAAATACAATATAAATGTATACCACCCTTCATGCCACAAACATCATTAACACAACTATGGGGGTGGGGGGAGAATTGTAAAGGTTTTAGCAGTTAAATGTGAAATACCCAGTAATGCTAAACTGTAGGATGGTCTGAACTGATACCAGGACTAAGGAGTACAGCCTGGAGGTAATGAAATAAGCAAAAGCTAAAAAAAACCCTAGAACTCCATATCCTTTGGAGAATTCAGGTGATAATAGGAGATGGCACCTCAGCAATGACATGTTCCCATCAGATCAGAAACTGTCTATCCAACTGGTCAGTGGTTCTCAATCTTTTCCACACCATGTCCCCATGTTACAACAGAAAAAAGTTTCAGGCCCCCATCCCATAAATTTCAGGACTCACCTCTCATCTAATCTAAAGACACAGAGCATGGGCTGCAACTCCCTGAAATCTGTTCACAACCCCCAGGTTGAGAACCCACAAGCTGGACTATTCTGTTCAGAATCTTATACTGTGCCCATCACATCTGATGGGCATATGAGCCCCTTCCACTAAAGCAATAAGTGACGTGACTTATTACAGATGTGGTTCTTTCCTCCTGACTTTCCCTGGAGTGGGGATTGCATGATGATTTGTTGTGAATGCATGACGTGCTCTGAGTGCATGTTAGTAAAGGCGAAGTGGAAGGAATGTGTCTTGCACTTGGAACAGAAACCACTTTTGGAGACTTTGGGTGAAATTGTGTTTAAGGAGCTCAACATGCAAAAATGTTTGTCCTGCTTAGACCAATTTCTAATTGAAGGGGAAGGTCAAAGATGTGTGAGTTCAAGCATAGCATGGCACAGTGATCTGGAAACCCCATTAAAATCAAACTCACTGGAACAAAGCTGTGAGTTTAGCTCATAAAATCTCAATATGTAATAAACACATGCAACTCCAGTTGAGCAGGGGGTTGGACTAGATGACCTCCTGAGGTCTCTTCCAACCCTAAACTTCTATGATTCTATGATCTGGCACTGGCCACTGTCAGAAGACAGGGTCCTGGGTTAGATGGACCATTGGGCTGACCCAGTGTGGCCGTTCTTATGTGCCTGCTCTCTGGAGTGAAAAACGCCCAGAGCACCAGTCATGCACTATCACCTACTGACCAGTTAACAAAGCAGGGATGCAAGGAATCAGCTTTGGAGAAGGTCTCTGTCCTGCCCTTTGAGTTAAATACTGCATACAGCCCTACTCGGCACAGAGGGTGCAAACACAAGAAATATCATCATTAAAATCCATGAGATCCCAAAATGTGACAGTGTGCTGTATGCAGCGACAGCCTAGATAATGTCAAGGCGGTGTAATAAATTCATGCTTACAATATGAATCAGGGGGTATTTTTGGAAGCATGTTAAAATTGTGTCTGTAGGAATTTTATCATCCCCTGATGATTTGCATGCACAGTTTGTAGCTGGATGCATAATCCTGTTAATATGGTTTCTGTGCATTTTTAGACCGTGTTGTAGCTACAAGAACCAGGAGACTAAATCTGTGCAAGATTTTTTTTTATTTTTAAACTCAGCTGATACCCACAAGCCTTCTGAAAACTGAGCCCTGGAATAAATAAGAACAAAACTAAAACAGGCATGTTCCGCTTGCACGTGCAGTAGCTTTGGCTTTTGAATCACACTGATCCGCAAAAGATATTCCAGGCTTCCCTCTGAGCTCTGTTACTTCAAGGGAATTAGATCCGAATTGGCCTCTTTATCTTCTTGAGGCACAAGAGGCCAAATTCTGTTCAGAGCAAATCAGGAATCACTATGTTAATGTCAGTGGAGCGATTCCTGATTTATGTGGGTGCTTGCCTGTCAAATTCAGACCATGGAGTCCAATTTTCCAACATAAACTACGTGAGGACACCCAGTTTAGCACTTGCATTACTTAAAATGAGTATCTGGGTACCTAAAAGCTGATTTACAAGAGAAAAACTGGTCATGTATTAAAGGCACTGAGTTGCTTGTGCGGCCCAGTCCAGTCAGAGGAGGTTGTAAGGGTGGCGCGCACGTCTAAGCTTTAGCTCAGTGGTTAGAGCACTCAGCTGGACTGTGAGAAACGCAGATTCAAGTACCCCTTCTGTGCCAGAGCGGGAGGAAGGATTTGAGCGAGGGTCTCCTACCTCGCTGAGTTGTAGGTGGTAGGAGGGTTCCTGCAATCTCTCTTGTTGAAGCTGTACCACTGTGGATAACTAATGAAAGAGTGATTGGAGCAGGAGACCGGAGGCACCTCCCAGACAAGTGCCCTAACCACTAGTCATTCGCTGTTTCTCATTTTCTGACCCAGTGACTGTTCCACTGTGGATAAATATTTAAACAGTCCTTGGGTCAGAGAGAGAGAGAGAATGAGAATAGATTTTGAATGAGTTGTAAGCATGCATACCGGCTCAGGCCCACATATGACGGATGAGCACCTGCCTTCCCCTGGTTCGTGAATCACACTGGGGCTTAGGGGTGAGATAGACATCTGGATGCCTAGAGGGAGCAGCAGCAGTGTGCATGCCCACAGGCAGGCATGGAGGGATCTTTTACCCTGAAAACTTAGACACTGAATGGGTTTAGGAGCCTACTGGGCTCAGCAGGGGTTTCATGGCTCACAGTGGAGCTTAAAACTGGGACTTAGCCACCAAACCCAAGACTTAGGTTCCTAAATCTAGACTTTAGGCTCCTAAGTACCTTTGTGGCTCCGACCCTTAATACCCTTCTGTTCCTGGATTCTCCCTCTGTACAATGCGGATCATTATATTTTCCTTCTTCAGCAGAATGTGTCGGGACGATACACTGATTTGCATTTGTGAGGCACTCTTACTGATGGGAGCTGTAGTAAGTCGGTTTGAAGGCATATCTGAACAACCTGACTTAAGCCCAAGATTTTGAATATTAGGGCCAATTCGTTACCAAAGAAGGGGTTAAGACAGGGGTGGGCAAACTACGGCCTGCGGGCCAGATCCGGCCCGCGAACCACACCAGGCAATGCAGCCCCACTCCGGCCGGGGTGCTGGGTCGGGGGCCACACCAGGCAGCTCCCAAAAGCTGCAGCATGGCCCCGCTCTGGCTCCTACATGCTCCATTGGGAGCTGCAGGAGTGGTGCCTGCAGATGGGGCAGTGTGCAGAGTCCCCTGGCCATGCCTCCGCATAGGAGCCAGAGAAGGGACAGGCCACTACTTGCAGGAGTGGCTTGAGGTAAGCGCCGCTCGGAGCCTGCACCCCCCTGAGCATCTCCCCATGCCCAAACCCCCTGCCCCAGCCCTGATCCCCCTCCGCTCTCCAAACGCCTCAGTCCCAGCCCAGAGCACCCTCCTACACCCCAAACTCCTCAGCCCCAGCCCCACCCCAGAGTCCGCACACCCCTCTCTCACCCGAACCCCAATTTTGTGAGCATTCATGGCCCACCATACAATTTCTATTCCCCGATGTGGCCCTCAGGCCAAAAAGTTTGCCCACCCCTGGCTTAAGAGAAGCTCTCTCTCACCCATTTGGGTTTTCATTCTAAAGAGCTAACAAAATGGTGACAAATACTTCTTGCACAAAATGCTAAGATTTAGTGCACTGAATGAATTCTTAAATTAAAATGAGGGCTTAGCAAATGATTTCTGAGAGAAATGATCTTCTGGGTAAAATTACTACAGGAGAGACTTTGAAACGTCCGAGATAGCATTTTTCTGACAACGTTATGCGTACATTGCCAAAAGAAAGTGAACACAGGACCCTTTTTCATTTTTCCTTTCCCATGCAAAACAACCTTTCTCCCCGAAGGAAGGAAACATATTTGCAAAAGCACAGTCTTGCTTTAAGTCACAAAGAATAGAGCAAATTCAGGATGCCGCGGCACTGTGTGAAAACTGCTGCATGTTCCGGTAATGGGCATTTGGGAAATAAAACTTTACATTGCAACAGTATATTTTCATGAGTGAACACTGGGCTTTAGTATGACTTGCCTTGGAGCTGTTCATCAGGAGAGGTGCTTAATGTGGTGGTGCAGCTGTCCAGGTGTTTATTGTTCTTAGGTTAAAGAGGAAACTCACTGGCAGATGTGACCTGGAAAAATTCAGAAAAACACATGGCCAGTACTCTATGCATCTATCTTCCATCCACTTAGGGAGACAGTACAAGATTTAGCCAAGTACCCATTCTCCCTCCAGCCTTAACTTTTTTTTCTAAGCAAAATAATTAAACTAGAGTGCAAAGTAAACCCAAGAAGAGACCTGCTCAAGTTATTTTGTCAAATAACAAATTGCACAAATGGGAAACCTATAAATATTAATTTCGCTTAAGCGTATCTTGTTTTGTAAAGTAAATGTTCAAATACTTTAGTGGGAAAAGGTAAACTGGTGCAAGGCAGCCTGCGTTTCTCTCATAAAAGAAACATCAATGTTTAATTTAAAAGGGCATGACTGTAAGGCAAATACCTCTTTACTTTCATGGTAGCGGCTGGCTATTAATTTACATCGCAAGCACTACGCAGGGGACAAGGAAAGTACATGGTTATTTCTGTCTGCTGAACCAGAGTGCAAGTCTCATGGTAATTACTTTGGATCCAAGTGTAATTACCAACTCATCTGCAGGAACATACGCAGTGGTGACATGCATTCATGGCAGCATTAGTTCCCAATAATAACACACCATCATTAACACATTTTAGCACTTTCATACATTTGCCACAGGCCATTGTGTTCTTTAGGAAACAGCTCACAGTTATGTGATCTAATGGGGCGATTTCATCAAATGTCACCTGAAATCCTGCTTCAGACTCTGTGGGTAGGTGGATGGGTATGTTATAATAGCCATAAATATGATAGCCCTATCATGTAAGATAAAGCTGTACCAAGACTTTTCATCGATACATATTTCTTCCCTGTGATATTTCTGGGTTCTGCTTTTACACTTTCCTTTTCAAAGCATTGCAACCCCTCAGCATGTGGGTTTTCAAGAATAACTGCACCTTTGTGCACAGCTGATACTCCTGGAATACTTATTTATTTGTTTATCTTTGCAACCTCACTGCTTCACTGAAACGGCATCAAGCTAAAAATTGGGATATTTTCTCTTGAGCTCACACCTCATCTGTTCCTCTTTGGGAGCTGGTGGTGATTGTGTTTTTCTTTTTTCTTCTTCTTCTCCTCCTTCTTCTTCTTTATTCTTTTTTTACCTCTCTCCCAAGGCTGCAAACATCACAGTAAACAATCAATTTATACTGATGGTTTTTAAAGCTTTTTTTTTTTTTAATGCCTCCAAGAAGGTCAAAGAAAAGCTTTGGAAAGGAAAAAGCAAAAGCTTTTTATGCTTCTGAAAATCCTCTGAAGAACTTATTACTGTTGCTTCTGAGCACTGCAGTATTCCAAAGACAACACAATTAGTAGAGAGAGACACTCTACTTTTAAAATGATGATGTGATTTAAAGACAAACAAGTCAAAAGAAATTCTAAGCTTTTCAAATACCTTTAACTGTGTCAATTCCAAATCACAGCTGCTAGGGTTTGGAAAGGAATGGTAAAATGACAAAGCACTTTGCAACTTGATTTTTTTAATCATATTTGAGACATTATGCAAATAAGGCATGAAAATAGCTCCCACTTCCTCATAGAAAACAATCTATTTGTGTACACTGTACAAGTGCAGTGCTATTAAAGCGAGACTGGCCGAGCAGTTATTCCCTGAAGGAGTTTTTCCAGTTTGGTTGGTGTGCGGTCCCTCTAATAACAAGGCTTGCATGTTCTGCATGAGCTAAATTGCCTGGAGAACACAGGGTCTGAGAAATAATGGGCCTGATTCTGCTCTCACTTGTGCTGTATAAATTGAGAGTAACTCCACTGAACTCAATGAGCCAAATTCTGTTTTCAGTGACTCTATTGCAAATCAGGAGTGAGCTGCTGAAGGCAAAAGAGGTACTCCCGATTTACAGTGATGTCACTGAAATTAGAATAGGAGTACTTGTGGCACCTTAGAGACTAACCAATTTATTTGAGCATGAGATGCATACCGTGGAAATTTCCACGGTATGCATCCGATGAAGTGAGCTGTAGCTCACGAAAGCTCATGCTCAAATAAATTGGTTAGTCTCTAAGGTGCCACAAGTACTCCTTTTCTTTTTGCGAATACAGACTAACACGGCTGTTACTCTGAAACCTGAAATTAGAATGTGGTGCAGTGGTTTACACTGCTGTACAGCCAGTGAAGAAGGACTCAGAAAGAGGCCAGGTATCTCCCTGTCATATGTTAGAAGGTAGGTTTATTTTTGCAAAGAAGGCAGCACTCACCTTAGCAATGAAAAAGAAAACCAGATCCGTAACAGCTCAAATTTCATCTATGCAATTTATCCAATGAGACTTCCAATCCCTTTGCAGGGATACCCTGCTGCTAACTTAGCAGTCAAGATCAGAGCACTTAATCATCCACTGAGGACAAATATGCGTAATCTACATTAGCACAAACCAGGGCATATTTTACATGACAGCTGAACAGATTTGTAAGAAAAAGCACTGGCAAGAAAATTGCATGAAAACAAAATTCCTTCATGTTTATGCTTAAAGTGGTGATTGCCTAAAAGCTTTTGTAGGTCTACATAGCCCTGAACATAATGGGTCAAATTCTGTGCTTATTAACTGCACTGGAGTTAGTCCAGATTTACATCAGTGAAATGGAATAGAATTTAGCTCACTGCATATGAAGCAGGAAGAATTCTTCCTCCTGCTGAATTAATAGGAGGGATAAAATGCTTCAATATGAAGGGGCATGATGTAGACTTCATGTTCAAAAGGCTCTATATTTCATCACAGTTAGTAACACTTAAGATCAGTGTTGAATCAGCTCTTTGTGAATCAAAAATTGGCCAGCTATATGCGTCATAAGGTAGCCTACACATCTGCAGGTAGCAAAAGGAAGTAGCACTTTGAAGAACCAAAACATCTATCCAAGGGAATGAATCATAGGTCTTTATAATATTGAAATGCACCCTGGTCTTTTAAAATCAAATTAGTTACATGGTGCAAGTCCCCTATTAAATCCATTTAAGAATATTTGTGTGAATTAAACTAAATTGATTTTAAAAAGACATCTTTAGCTGAACTGGTGCAACTTTTAACAAAGAGAAGGCCTAGGATGGCTTAGTGCAATCAAGTCTTAAGATCTAGAGGATGATGTTTGCTCCTAAGAATGTCAAGGAAGTTCTCTTCACTACCTGCAGGTATGTAGATTACCATATGGTACGTGCAATGGGTCTGGTTTTGGTTCATCAAGAGCTGACTCAACACTATTGTTGTGGGTGCAATATTGACAAACAAATAGAGAGTCTGAACGTAGGTACAAATGTGCAAACTTTTGGTGTTTGTATGAGGCAGCCAGACTGAGCCACTAATTTCTATTAGGTCAATGATGCATGAAGTGAGGATTCATACAAAAATACCAAAAGTACCATCAGAGTCCATTCAAAAATCTTTCTTCTCATTCTCCCACAGCCTAGATTATAAATAGCATAGGTTATATAACAATCAACCCACTGCAGCGAATCCAAAAGTAGCAGGAACTCCCAGGAAAATATTTGTACTGTTCACACATCACATAAACCTCCTATTGGGAGACAATTGCAGTCTCCCACAAGTTTTTAAACGATGGGCCAATGTTGCTCTTGTGAAATATATGCATTTGCCTGTATCAGCTGTGCCTGCAGAAGCATAGAATCATAGAAGAATAGGGTTGGTAGAGACCTCAGGAGGTCATCTAGTCTAACCCCCTACTCAAAGCAGGACCAACGCCAACTAAATCATCCCAGCCAGGGCTTTGTCAAGCTGGGCCTTAAAAACCTCTAAGGATGAGATTCCACCACCTCCATAGGTAACCCACTCCAATGCTTCACCACCCTCCTAGTGAAATAGTTTTTCCTAATAACCAACCTAGACCACCCCCACTGCAACTTGAGACCATTGCTTCTTGTTCTGTCATCTGCCACCACTGAGAACAGCCGAGCTCCATCCTCTTTGGAACCCCCCTTCAGGTAGTTGAAGGCTGCTATCAAATCCCCCCCTCCCCCACTCTTCTCTTCTGCAGACTAAATAAGGCCAGTTCCCTCAGCCTTTCCTCGTAAATCATGTGCCCCAGCCCCCTGATCATTTTCGGTGCCCTACACTGGACTATCTCTAATTTGTCTACATCCTTTCTGTAGTGTGGGGCCCAAAAATGGACACAGTACTCCAGATGAGGCCTCACCAATGTCGAATAGAGGGGAATAATCACTTCCCTCGATCTGCTGGCAATGCTCCTAGTAATGCAGTCCAATATGCCATTAGCCTTCTTGGCAAGAAGGGCACACTGTTGATTCATGTCCAGCTTCTCATCCACTGTAAACCTCAGGTCCTTTTCTGCAGAACTCCCACTTAGCCAGTCAGTCCCCAGCCTGTAGCAGTGCATGGGATTCTTCCACCCTAAGTGCAGGACTCTGCACTTGTCCTTGTTGAACCTCATCAGATTTCTTTTGGCCCAATCCTCCAATTTGTCTAGGTCACTCTAGACCCTATCCATACCTTCCAGTGTATCTACCTCTCCCCAGAGCTTAGTGTCATCTGCAAACTTGCTGAGGGTGCAATCCATCCCATCATCCAGATCATTAATGAAGATGTTGAACAAAACCGGCCCCAGGTCTGACCCGGGGCACTCCGCTTGATACCGGCTGCCAACTAGACATCGAGCCGTTGATCACTGCCCATAGATCCTGACGATCTAGCCAGCTTTCTATCCACCTTATAGTCCATTCATCCAATCCATACTTTGTAACTTGCTGACAGGTGTACTGTGGGAGGCCGTATCAAAAGCTTTGCTAAAGTCAATTCATTATAAAGTCAATTTGCTAAAGAATTCAGATGTGCTCAGAACAAAACAGATAACTGCATGCAAACGGAAACTGACCCATACCTGTATCTAGGCAAATGTAGATTTTGTGTGTTGTCTTTCCCGTGTGCAAGCAGACTTTGCAAAATGATGTTTCAAAATGGAGTCCTTAATTTTATCTGAGTACAAGTGAGCATGAGAATACAGTAAACAGTGCC